GGTTGTTCCTCCCCAGGTGCAGGACCCTGCACTTGCCCTTGTTGAACTTCATCAGGTTCCTGGTATTTTGAAGGAAGTATCGTTCACCGATGGCGATGCTGCAGATGGAGGGGAAGGTGGGGGGTCAGGCACCTGGCTGTGTGGGACGCGCGCAAACCTCTCCAGCCCACTGGAAAAGGCTCTCCAGCGGCGATTTCCAAGCGGCCGAGGCAGGCACGGGGTGGGCCAGCTTTGCCCCTGCGGCTCTGGACCACGTGCAGCGCTGCTGCAGAGGCTGCGCAACAACCTGGAGCGCAATTAATTTAGAGGAGTAGTCTGGTGCCTCTGAAGAAAGGTGAGGCTCTTGCAATTTCTACTTGCATAATTAAACAGGTAACTAGAAATAACGGACACGCCAGCTTGCACCTTAATGAGATGGGAAATGGGTGACCAACAGGACAGCCATGCCTGCCCCGGGCTCCCAGAACCGAGGTGTTACCATTCAAACCTTTGTGGCTGAAGATTTTAAGGAAACCCACGTTCAGAGCCCAACTATCAATGAATTTTAACTCCTTTAGTGAAGCCCATCCCCAGACCCCTCACCCCTGCTAATCCTCGCACGCGCTCCCAGCTACGGAGAGCAGCGCCCGGTGACCATCGTCCCCACGCTCTGCGCAGCCGCAGGCACGTTCTGGGACCGTAACGTGTGTTTAAATCCTTAAACGGCTTTTGGCTAGAAAGGGTGACACACGATAACCCAGGGAAACGGGCAGCTGGACAGCAAGCCAGCTTGGTTTTGCAAGGTGGCTCAAGGAGCTTGGGAGCGCGCACAAATGTCAAAGTAAGAAACTGAGGAGCGTTAAGAACACGGCAGCTGGGACTCCGCGGAACACGTACACGTGTCCACACGGCCAAAATAAGATTCAAACCGGACTTCACTTTCTGAGTCAGTCTGTGCCTAGATCCTGCTGTGAACCAAAATTCACCGTACTTGCATCAAAACAGCCTACGGAAACGTTCGGTTCAGCTACATCCATTTACAGCGGCACCAGAGAGCCGATTAGCAGGTGTGTATTTAAACAAGATTATTTTCAGCTAAAGCTGCCCTCACTAGAATGCTTTTCTCACACCTCAACAAACGAGACCTGGCTGGGTTCATGTATTTATTTTCTAATTAAAAAAGTTTTTCAAAAAACCCAAAGCTTTTTAAAGCTAGATGGCATTGAAGACCCATGCGGTTTTTCATTTCTGTGGTTAAATCCCCTCACTCTACAGGCTGCAGAGAGAGGCACAGACAGGCTGGGAGGGTGACGCGGCGCAGCGCCCGGGGCCGCAC